GAAAAGTGGTTATTCTCTACCTTTACAAGAGCCAGATCAGACGTAAAATGGAGTAGTCCGTTCATATATGGACAGGAGCTGGCTAGTCTTCACTTTTCAATCTCTTATAGAGCCCAAAAGCTTCTCCGTTTCCTTGTGGGGGCCAATTTATTTTTCACCACGTAACCCTTCTCACGAATGAGATATAGTAAGGTTCGCGTTGTTCTATCGCTATTTCCATGGAAAAGTGCTTAGACGAATTACATTTCATACTTCCACCAGTTCTAACCTTCACGGCTGGGACCCGCCAAGCTATGCACATTGTAGCTAACCGCCCTCATTCCCTTTGTATTCCACTGGTTTCTTACTACGAAGCAGTGGTCTGTGGAACCAACTACCAAGGGGATATTTTCCCGATCTTACGCTGTTCATGTCTAGGGTTAACCGATATCTTCGCCTATCCGCATAAAGTGTGCCTTTGTTGTATATATATATATATATATATATATATATATATATATATATATATATCGAGAGAGAGAGAGAGAGAGAGAGAGAGAGAGAGAGAGAGAGAGAGATTCCATTGGTTAGAAGTAAGTTCTAGTGAAACAGTTTCTTACCACGAAGTAGTGGTCTGTGGAACGAACTACATCTTCCCCGCCTATCCGCATAAAGTGTGCCTCTTTGTAAGAGAGAGAGAGAGAGAGAGAGAGTGCATGATACTTCTTAGATGGTTGTAGGGTATAAATTCACCCTCTCACAGGAACGCGCACATCGAAATTTCTTTTTGTAAATCAATTCACTAGAAGGAAAGCGATAATGCCGCTAAAAAGCAAAGGGGCTAGTGTGAGCGAAAAAGATAGAGAGAACTTTAGTAGGAATAGGAATCTCAATCTTAAACAGAAAACAAGGGATAAACCTCTACCCCTATTCAAAATAGCGGGGAGAATTGTGAGCCGGACGATAGGCGAACGTATCTTGAACTAAAAAAAAAAAAAAAAGATGAAAATAAGTGTTAACCGTTATCTTCCACACCTATCTGCATAAACTATTCTTCTTACTCTGTGACTCTCTACTTCAAGTGGCGCTCAGGCCTTGTACAGGGTAAATCTCACTTGGGAAATAAAGCTTTCTGAACCATCATCCATTACACCATCCGCGCATCCAAGCTTAAAGCATCTGATACTCCCTAGCTGGTAAAGCTATCAGAACCACATTTATTTGATAAATATCTCAATTAAACTTCAGCTTCAGTTTATAATAACGGTTTCATTATGGATTTTCCCAATTATTATCTACCCCGTAGGTTGTTAATCATATATATATATATATATATATATATATATATATATATATATATATATATATATTGTCACGTAGCCACGATTTCATTAAACATATAGGTGTTAGGCTAAAAAGCATCCCAAAGTAAAATCTTAAATTCTAGGCGAAAATTAGTTAGATATAAAAGAAAAATAGATAAATAAATAAAATTAGAAATTTAATCCAATGCTATCGACTCGCGAGCGAATATATTCTATGATCAGCCATATCCTCCTCTTCTCTTCACAAATTCTTTTCCTCTTTATCTACTCTTCCTCCCACGAGCCAAGGGCCCGTGAACTTTGAAGTGACCCGACGCGAGAATGACCTGGTTCCAAGATTTCGCAGCTATCAGGCGGCTGACCATAAGTGAATTCCAGGCACCATCAGGGTCTCCTGCTGCGATTCACGTGATCAGAACATACTAAGCGTGTATTGAACTTTTGGCCATCACACAAGCACTGCGTGATTTGCGCCCTATCCTCCTGCGTACCCGGTCAAGGACGAAGGAAACCCACGTGACTATTTTTGGGGACAGCAGAAATCTAAAAAAGGATTTTCAGTTTCCCTCTGACCAGCGGCAGTTGAACGTCACTGGGCAAAAATCGTCAGACTGCCCACCGAGATGAAGAAGACAGCAAAGTCTGTCGACTATGGGTGAAAGGACTGCTATGGAACTGATCAACCCAACCAAATGCCTGTACGAGATGCTGTGGACCCTCGAACACTTGTGAAAAGAAAAGAAATCCATGAAAATTGCCGGCCGGCCAAAATATTGTTTTAGCATCAGAACTCTCGCTTCGGGAATCAGAACTATGTGAAAATATCAGATCGACTGAAAGATAAGTTGATTCTCTTGGTTTGATCTGTTTTTATATATGTATGTATTCGCTCGCGCTTTCTGTTCTTTAATGATACCCTTCCCCTTTGTTAAATGAATGTTTTTTTTCTTTCTTTATTTCTTTATATATATTTATAAATAAATGCTTTATTTTGAAACCCATCGTCTTGTGTCTGTTCTTCGTTGATTCCCTTGTGTCGCTTCCATTTCTGAGTGAAGACCGAGAAAAGTTCCCATGTTTTCCTTTTTTTTTTAACCCGTGGTTCATCTATATGCTACAAGTTCGTAACAATATATATATATATATATATATTCGACTCTCCCGTCGAGAATCGACGTATGACGGTCAAGCAGATCAGTTTCCAGGAAACCGACAGCCCAACACCGGCACATGAGATTTGATTATAGTGGTGAAGGTTTCGTGCAGGACTATCCACGCTTTTTGAAGGGACGAATACAGAGACCTGGTGCACCGAATGCCACAAGGTTCCCAAACGACCCTCCGCAGGTTTTGAATTCAGAGTTGTCCTTCTAGATCAGTTGCCATCCAAGGCTATAGAACCCAGTTTGTCCTGCTATTTTACCCATAGCTGGTGGGAGAGGAAGAGGATTCATACCTTTCCCAAGGGTATTAGCACGTAATTCGAATCCATTACATATATATATATATATATATATATATATATATATATTCATGAATTATTCATACAAAAACAAATGCAAAGATTAATGATTTAATTGGCGAGAAATCCATCGTCGCAAACAATTCAAATAATATACAAAAAAACCTCGAACCTGTTATGAATGAAAAGATCCTTGTTTCTATAAATTTCTGCTGCATGAGTTCTTATTTTTACTATAAGCTTTCGTCTGTTCCTACAGACATCTTCAGGTATGGAATAGATGTTGTTCTTGTTTTTTTCTCTCAGTAATATATATGCGGCAGGATCGGTGGCGATATTAATTGGTTTTAATTACTGATATATAAAGATTGCCATGGGTCGTAAAAAAAGATGAAATCTCGAAAGTGTAACAAGTTATTTTAATGTATTTGAGTGATGAAAACACAAAAGTAGACGTTACAAAGCAGTTGAACCGAAATCACAAAACAGTAACAAAGGAAACAGAAGAATTAGAACAAGAATATTGCAAAAAGTGATCTGAGAAAAAAAAAATGATTAAAAACGTCCTAAGCAAGACAAATGGATTTGACTAGTAAGAAAATATTTAATCAGCTGGTGTTATAGATGTGAACACAGAAAAAATCGACAAGTCATTATTTTGAAAGTCGACTAAATACATAAGAGCAACAAAACAAACATTTTAAAGAAAATATCACAAATAGAAACGTGTATACTGAACAAAGGAGAAAAATGATTTCGCAATAGTAATATTTAGTGATGAATATAGAGCTACATTGGGTGAACTTGATAGTTGAACTAGAATCTAAGTTTTTCATAGAAACAGATGATTTGCAATGTTTTCTAAAATGGGGCGAGTTTAATGATTCGCCATAGTAAAGGTAGAAAAATCATAGGGCTCTTCAAAGTTGGTGATAGTGTTAAAATAAAATTTAGTTAATTATTGTACAATCAGGGACATAAATTTCTTTTTCTTTACGTAGTACAGGTCACAAGTAAGCATCTTGAAGCTAAATGCTACATAGTTGATTATTGTCCATTTATTGAAAAGTGTGTTGACAAGTACCTGGGATATCCTATAGAAAGAGAAAACATGAATGTATATCACGGTATGATTTCAAACACACACATAAGCATAGATATCTATGTATTTTCAGTATCTATCTATCTATCTATCTATCTATCTATCTATCTATGTGATTTCGTTCAGTGTAATAATCTTTCCGGTCGTTCAAATTTGTTTACTCTACCTACTTACTTACCTACCTAACAGTATTCCACTCACTCACTCACTCACTCACTCACTCACTCACTCACTATCTATCTATCTATCTATCTATCTATCTATCTATCTATCTATCTATCTATCTATCTCAGCTTGTTCATTATCTATCTATCTATCTATCTATCTATCTATCTATCTATCTATCTCAGCTTCTTCATATCTATCTATCTATCTATCTATCTATCTATCTATCTATCTATGTGATTTCTTTCAAATTTCTATCTGTGTGATTTCTTTCAAATTTGTTTACTCCGCCTACCTACCTACCTAACCGTATTCCACTCACTCACTCACTCACTCACTCACTCACTCACTCACTCACTATCTATCTATCTATCTATCTATCTATCTATCTATCTATCTATCTTGCTCGTGGGTTTATATCGATCAGATATTGTTATTTACACATAACAGGCAGACAAACAGACACGTAAACATATATAATATACAAGGTATTTGAAGGAATACTGCACCAATACAAACGACACAAGCGAGTACACAAGTTCAAATCCATGCGTACACATATATACACATTTTCACATTTATTTATACACATTATTAGACACGCACAAAACACATGAAGCTGATAAAGAAACGTTCATGAACATCTCGAATACGCCGCACAAAAGGCAGCCCAATATTCTCAGCGAAGAAAAACCAATAACGCACGGGCAACGCTCTCAATGTCTCTTTGGAACGCTGCAAAACTTATTTTGTCTGCGTTGTCTTCGAGGTGACTTCCGGTGCGTATTTCCGTTCCTGTTACCTTGCTTCCGTTTTCCGGTGGCATCTAACTGAGCGAGTTTTGCCTTGTCAGTTGTGAAGAAATATAAAGTTAAAATTTTGAAAATTTTGATCTTTCTGTTTTCGTTCGAAATATCTTTTGCTAAATCACGCGTGTCAATTTAGACGCATCACTTTATTATACACATTAGAGAGAGAAAGAGAAGAGAGAAAAAGAGTAAAGAGAGAGAGAGAGAGAGAATGAGATAGAGAGAGAAAGAGAGAGAGAGAGAGAATGAGATAGAGATAGAGAGTGACGCAACCAAAATGGCTCACAATGCCATCCCGGATAGATGTCTTTTACGGTAATTTGCCTAGCAAAACAATTATGTGTATCCCGAGCAGCCAACAAAGACATCACGCACAGAAATTAGCAGAGGAAAAGCCCGAGGTATTTGAGACTTCGCTCAGTTGCATTAGCCATAACACCACTACCATTGTCACCACAACCACCAATAACAACATCAAATCCCATATACAACAATTAGTGTGTTGTGTTTCTATTATTACGAGGACAGCAGTGTGGACCACTCAGCTCTGGTTGCAAACGCTTTATTACTGACTACATTTGCAGAATGCAGTGAATTATTTTGGGCGTATTTTCTGAAATTTATCAGCTCGGACGACCTTGAAAATGTCTTCTTTCAATTTTGATTATTTTTTATTGTTGAATAACCAAATTTTGACTCACCCTTTAATTAATTAATATGTAGTGTTAATTAATAGTGTTTTTAAAAAAACAACAAAAAAGACAAGGAAATATGAAATAACGTTTTTATCGATTCGACAGCAACGTTCATATATATATATATATATATATATATATATATATATATATATATATATATATATATAATGAAAACGTCACATCCTGTTAGTACGTAATGGATTTATAAACAAACTTCTTGAATAATTCCGTGGATAATTAGGATTTTAGTTGTAAATCTATTTCGGATTAGTTGCTTTCTCTCTTTTATCTCTCTCACATGCACAGACACGTACATATAATATATATATATATATATATATATATATATATATATATATATATATATATATATATATATATATATATTTCCATTTTCCTTTAAACTTTTCCGTTGCTTACATACTTCGTTCATGGTATTGCCAGTATCCTTCTGTAGAACAACATTTCTGTTGTCTAAAGTCTCTTTCATCTGTGAGGAAATTGTTCAGCAGTCACCGGAGGATTGAGTTTAACCGTTTCCTTACAGGAAAATGTCGACATTTACTGACCGAACATTTAATGTTACTGTCGGCTGAAACTTATAGAATGTCTTAATTCATTTTTTTCAAGAAATTGTCAAATCTACTGAATGTTATAGCTCTTTCAAATATCAATGTGGATTTTCTTCCAACCTTTTTGTTCTTGGTAGTATGGAAAATTAATATGTTCATTGTATCGTTGTTTTTTCTCTAGTTACAATTGATAGCAATTTTTGTTGTTACTGGACTTGGGAGTCCTCAAGTGATGTACTTTTTTTTATTTGGTAAAGATCTTCATTTATATTTCGTTTTTGATCCAAATTTTAACGGGAAAAGTGGATATTCGGAATATTTCATAAGAAACAAAGGAAAGAGGGCTGATCTGATATGTAATATCAGTCCCCCTATATGGCAGTAAATGTAGAATAATCTCCTCACAAATGAAGAGGAGACATGAGGCAACAGGGAGGTGGTCCTAAAAAAGGATACTGAGAATACCATGAACCGAATTTTGTGAGCAATGAGTAGATTTAAAAAAAAATAATTTAAATAATCTATAGACAGTATATATATATATATATATATATATATATATATATATATATATATATATATATATATATATATATATATATTATTGTAGAACTTATAGATATAGATGAACCACGGGTTTTAAAAAAAAAAAACGTGGGATCTTTTCTCGGTCTTCACTCAGAAATGGAAGCGACACAAGGGAATCAACGAAGAACAGACACAAGACGATGGGTTTCAAAATATAACATTTATTTATAAATATATATAAAGAAATAAAGAAAGAAGAAAAAAAACATTCATTTAACAAAGGGGTAGGAGATCATTCAAGAATAGAAGGCGCGAGCGAATATATACATATATGAAAGCCAAGAGAATCAACTTATCTTGCAGTCGGGTTGATATCTTCACATAAAGTTTTGATTCGCCGAAGCGAGAGTTCCGATGATAAAACAATATCTTGGCCGGCCGACAATTTTCCTGGTCTCTTTTTCTTTTCACAAGTGTTCGAGGGTCCACAGCATTTCATACAGGCGTTTGGTTGGGTCGATCAGTTCCGTAGCAGTCCTTTCGCCACTAGTCGACAGACTTTGCTGTCTTCCTCATCTCAGTGGGCGGTCTGACGATTTTTGCCCAGCGACGTTCAACTGCCGCTGGTCAGAGGGAAACTGAAAAATCCTTTTTTGGTTTTCGCTGTCCCCAACGACAGTCACGTGTGTTCCCTTCGTCCTTGACCGGGTACGCAGGAGGATAGGGCGCAAATCACGCAGTGCTTGTGTGACGGCCAAAAGTTCAACACATGCTCAGTACGTTCCGATCACGTGAATCGCAGCAGGAGACCCTGATGGTGCCTGGAATTCACTTATGGTCAGCCGCCTGATAGCTGCGAAATCTTGGAACCAGGTCATTCTCGCGCCGGGTCACTTCGAAGTTCACGGGCCCTTGGCTTGTGGGTGGAAGAGAGGATAAGGAGAGAAAGAATTTGTGAAGAGGAAAGAAGGTGTATGGCTGATCATAGAATATATTCGCTCGCGAGTCAAAAACATTGGATTAAATTTCTATTTTTATTTATTAATTTATTTTTCTTTTATATCTAACTAATTTTCTCTTTATTTAAGATTTTACTTTTTTAGCCTAACGCCTATATGGTTAATGAAATCGTGGCTACGTGACAATATATATATATATATATATATATATATATATATATATATATATATATATATAGTTGTATATTTAGGCAGCAATCCTTCCTTTATGCATGTTTCATTAAAAACGACAGACAAGGTACTACGGTTAAGCTTTTATTTAATTTTTCTTGTGTTCTGACAAGAGCTTTCTTTTCTGGACAAAGGGTGTATAAGAACTGTCCGAATGTTTTAGATTTCCGAGCGCTTTCGGCTATACATTTAGCCATTATCAAGGATGATTCGATTTTCAACTTAGTTGAGTGTGTGCGTCCTGTGTATGTATCAGTGTGTGGGAGGGATGTTTTTAATTTCCGAATACGGTTAGCACATTGTGGTTTGTTCGGAGTTAATATTGTTAAGAGTTGGCTTTTTCTTTTTTATTATTAGAGCTTCCATTATTTTTAGTCTTTTTTTGCAAGTGGATGCAGTTATTACAAAGAACAAACATTATCTATGAGTTCAAATGCCCTTTAAGGAACTGCGTTCCTGATCAAACCGGACTCATAAATAATTACATCGGCTACACAACCACATGCTTATCCAGACGTCTTACGTTACACCTATCTGATCACAGCTCCATCAGAACACATTTTAACACACACTCAGATTTACCCGACACCATTAGGAACATACTAGTAGAAAACACAAATATATTAACTGCATCCACAAGGCAAAAGAAGATGTGAAGAAGAAATGTGTGTGTGAATGAAAAAGTGTGAAAACGAAGAAATTTGAAGATGAAGAACAAGAAGAAAAGTACTATAAATATGGAAAAGAAGAAAAAGAAACGCGCAAAGAAAGAAGAAATATGAAAAAGAAAAAGAAATGTGAAGAAGAAATGTAAAAAGAAGAAATGTGAAGAGGAAAAAGAAATGTGAAGAGCGAGGTGAAAATGTGAAGAAGAAATGTGACGCAGAAGAAGAAATGCAAAGAGAAAGAAGAAATGTGACACAGAAGAAGAAACGTGAAGAGATAGAAGAAATGTATAGAGGAAGAAGAAAATGTGAAGAGGAAGAAGAAATATATAGAGGAAGAAGAAAATGTGAAGAGGAAGAAGAAATGTATAGAGGAAGAAGAAAATGTGAAGAGGAAGAAGAAATGTATAGAGGAAGAAGAAATGTATAGAGGAAGAAGAAAATGTGAAGAGGAAGAAGAAATGTATAGAGGAAGAGGAAAATGTGAAGAGGAAGAAGAAATGTATCGAGGAAGAGGAAAATGTGAAGAGGAAGAAGAAATAATAGAGGAAAAAAGAAATGAAGAGGAAGAAGAAATATAGAGGAAGAGGAAAATGAAGAGGAAGAAGAAATGAAATAGAGGAAGAAGAAATGTATTGAGGAAGAAGAATGTATAGAGGAAGAAGAAAATGTGAAGAGGAAGAAGAAATGTATAGAGGAAGAAGAAATATATAGAGGAAGAGGAAAATGTGAAGAGGAAGAAGAAATGTATAGAGGAAGAAGAAAATGAAGAGGAAGAAGGAGGAAGAAATGTATCGAGGAAGAAGAAATGTATAGAGGAAGAAGAAAATGTGAAGAGGAAGAAGAAATGTATAGAGGAAGAAGAAATATATAGAGGAAGAGGAAAATGTGAAGAGGAAGAAGGAAATGTAGAGGAAGAAGAAAATGTAGAAGAGGAAGAAGAAATGTATAGAGGAAGAAGAAAAATGTGAAGAGGAAGAAGAAATGTATAGAGGAAGAAGAAAATGTGAAGAGGAAGAAGAAATGTATAGAGGAAGAAGAAATATATAGAGGAAGAAAAATGTGAAGAGGAAGAAGAAATGTATAGAGGAAGAAGAAATGTATAGAGGAAGAAGAAAATGTGAAGAGGAAGAAGAAATGTATTGAGGAAGAAGAGAAGAAAAATGTGAAGAGGAAGAAGAAATATATAGAGGAAGAAATGAAGAGGAAGAAGAAATATATAGAGGAAGAAGAAAATGTGAAGAGGAAGAAGAAATGTATAGAGGAAGAAGAAATATATAGAGGAAGAGTAAAATGTGAAGAGGAAGAAGAAATGTATAGAGGAAGAAGAAAATGTGAAGAGGAAGAAGAAATGTATAGAGGAAGAGGAAAATGTGAAGAGGAAGAAGAAATGTATAGAGGAAGAGGAAAATGTGAAGAGGAAGAAGAAATGTATAGAGGAAGAAGAAATGTATTGAGGAAGAAGAATTGTATAGAGGAAGAAGAAAATGTGAAGAGGAAGAAGAAATGTATAGAGGAAGAGGAAAATGTGAAGAGGAAGAAGAAATGTATAGAGGAAGAGGAAGAAGAAATGTATAGAGGAAGAGGAAAATGTGAAGAGGAAGAAGAAAAATGTATAGAGGAAGAAGAAATGTATAGAGAAGAAGAAAATGTGAAGAGGAAGAAGAAATGTATAGAGGAAGAGGAAAATGTGAAGACGATGAAGAAATGTATAGAGGAAGAAGAAATGTATAGAGGAAGAAGAAAATGTGAAGAGGAAGAAGAAATGTATAGAGGAAGAGGAAAATGTGAAGAGGAAGAAGAAATGTATAGAGGAAGAAGAAATGTATAGAGGAAGAAGAAAATGTGAAGAGGAAGAAGAAATGTATAGAGGAAGAGGAAAATGTGAAGAGGAAGAAGAAATGTATAGAGGAAGAAGAAATGTATAGAGGAAGAAGAAAATGTGAAGAGGAAGAAGAAATGTATAGAGGAAGTGGAAAATATGAAGAGGAAGAAGAAATGTATAGAGGAAGAAGAAATGTATAGAGGAAGAAGAAAATGTGAAGAGGAAGAAGAAATATATAGAGGAAGAGGACAATGTGAAAAGGAAGAAGAAATATATAGAGGAAGAAGAAAATGTGAAGAGGAAGAAGAAATGTATAGAGGAAGAAGAAATATATAGAGGAAGAAGAAAATGTGAAGAGGAAGAAGAAATATATAGAGGAAGAAGAAAATGCGAAGAGGAAGAAGAAATGTGAGGAAAAAAGAAAAAAGGTTGAAGGCGATGAGAAAAATTAAGAAAAGGTAAAAAAAAAAAAAGAAAGAGAGAGAGGACTTGCCTTTAATGACAATGAAGAAGAAAGTGAATTTAATGAAGATACTGATCTTTATTTGATAGAACTCTTTTTAATTTTCTGTAATTAGGTTTCCACCTTTGCGGGAGCCTTCGTTTGAAGGAACAAAAGCGGAAAACACACGCGCCCAACCACACACATACACATACACATACGCGCGCTCTTTGTTCCCAGTTGCCGGTTGTCATGACATTTAGATCAAATGGCAACAAAGTTGTGATCGTAAAAGACTTCCGGCCTGGAGATAATCCGAACGCCCAAAATCTGTCCGTGTTTTTATTCTCTTTGTAATTTAGTTAAGCCAGGGTCAAAACAGACGATCAACCAGCGGTTTTAATTTTCTCCATCAGGTGGTGGATGAGACCATCTGGTTATTATCAGCTTAATTGTGTTTTCCAATGGCTTCCCTGAAAATAACCTGTTTATTTTATAGATGTCCGCTTGGCATGGATATATCGACATCAATATCAACATCAACAGCAGCATCAACAGCAACAGCAACAGCAAGAGTCACTATTCGTGAGAGTGACTGTGTCGGAAAGGGCACAACTAACGGAGTAGGATCTCAGGTTACGTTCACCGATTTGAGCTCGAACGGGTTTGAATGAATGTATTGCGTGACAAAGGCAAGGAGGGATGGTAAAGGGTTAACAAAAGACATGATGTTGTGGAAAAACATAATCGACAAAGACCCGAGAGAAGACACACAAAAAAAGGATACTTTGCAGAAAGATAAACATAATGAATTTAATCAATTACATTATATCAAAGGAGACAGCTCGAGGTGTGACCAACGTATTGTGGCCGTCAAACATGTTGCGCTCGTTGACCGATAATATTATTCATTTCCCTACAAGGAAACATGTGGCACTCATTGACCGATAATGGTAATATTAACCATTCCCTACAAGTAAACATTTGGCATTCATTGGCCGGTAATGTTAATGTTATCCATTTCAATGTGTGATTCTGTAGCGCCAGTCCACAATGTTGAAAGAAGTTTGGCCTTAGCCAAGACCTACCGTTTTCAAAGTCATTTTTAACCATTGATCTTAGAAAGCGATTGCATACAGCTGACAGTTTAGATATTTCTGAATGGGTTTGGCGCCGTACAGAGCACCCACATGGAAGTCTCGATATGACGAGGCTATTTAAGAATGCATTCAGCCAGTTCGGCGATGACATTGCATCGTTGGATGGAAGGCTTCCTAGACAGAAGTCAACAACCGGGACGGATTGCTTTTTGATTAATTTGTTTTTTACGGATTAGCAACCCTTTGCATGTGATTTAAAACCAGGAAATATTTTTGGACTGAAAGAATTTTCTTTTGGTGGTGGAGAAATAATAATGATTTATTGCTACAAGACTTACTAATTAACACATCGATGGGGTGAGGGAGAAGAGGTGGATTAATACCTTTCCCAAGGTACGAACCCAAATGTAATTGAAAAGTCACCCCCACCCCCGATTAAAAATTCCGAGCCATTATCCATTCCCAAGCGGTCAATTTAGGTACTGACCAGGCTGGACGTTGCTTAACTTCGGTGATAGTACAGGAACCGGTTTTCAATATGATGTGGCCATAAGCCAGCTAGGATAGAGGTTTTCATCGATGGATTCAGCGATCACGTGTCCGTGACCAGTGTGGGCCGACAAGTTGGAGGCTGTGACTTGTATCTGTTATAGATTATTTATTATATACGAACTTGTGTGCGTGCATTTATGTGTTCAGTTTTCTTCCTTCGAAAGAAGGATCCCGCAAATAGGAAAAACTAATTACTGAAAACTAACCCTGGAGAGGGATAGGCTCTGCCCGGTCTACTCGACTAATACACGCTACGCATGAATGAATAATTCACTAACTTTCAACCGACATAGTTGGAAGAAACTGGTCAAGTGCTCAACTGTGCAGTGACCCTACGACCACATCGTACAACTAAATATACAACAGGCTTAAAAAGAAAACATGACAAAGGGTCATCTCTAGGGCAGCACAGTCCTGTATGCAACAACCAGTGGGGTGATGATACGGAATCGATGAACGGCGGGCTTCCTAAAGTGGAGCTAATAGGCAGGGTGGAGGTTTCTCTCAATTAAATCAATAGTCAATGTATGTGACCAAGGCGTGTTCTCTAAGTTGGAGGACATCGGCTGTGTTTAACCTGGAGAGAGATGGGTTCAGCTATGTATACTTACGTTGTACATGAATAGCTCTCCAACATTCAACCTAGATATGTACAGTGAACTCTTCGCTAAGTCTTCCTAATTGATATTAGTATAGTTAGCTGAATTACAAATCGTCGAAACAAATCAAAATTTCAGATAATAGGAATCACAAGAACTTACAAAAATGAATATCGGGTAACGTCTAAACACTTGCCTCTCTGGTTTCTTGCTTAACGGAGAAAAATGTGGTATATCGCCTACTTTTAGAATACTTGTTTTTATTTGTTATTCTGTCCTATAGCTTAATCTTGTTAATTTATCAGTGATCCTTTTTTTGATAAGGGTTGATCGAAGAGCTGACCACTTAAGAGGACCTCTGTAATTTTTGTTGTAATCAATTTGCCTCTTCTATTTCATGCTATACTTAAATTTTCTACCACCAAGAAATTGTTTAGATATATTTACTAAGAGTAGCTTAGTCTGCCAAATAAGAGAATGGCGTGGGCTTCCAAACTTTGAAACTCAGCATTCCAAATTCTTGGCGTTTTATGTAGGCGCAGACAGTGGTTTTCAAACTCTTTAGAGTCAAGGCGAGCTTAGCGTAATACAGATTTTTTTCCCACGTCGACCTAAGCCAGATAATGCTGATCAACTGCATTTATGTTTGTTGATTACAGCTGGGACCGACACTCGAGTGAGTAGCCCCTACGATCGATAACACCATATTCCATTTTTAGTTGCATAGTATATTCTTTGCCAGGTCTCATTGTTGTTTTCCTCCAAGACTGGTTGTCGTCCTGGGTACGACGTTAAACTACATCCGCGTCCTGGGTAAAATGATAACCTACATCCAACAGCAAGGCCTCTTATCAAGAGTTTTTGAGGAGCGTGGAACCACCTCTTAATTGCTGGTGTTCCCAGATCCACCTTGACCCGGGATGGTAACAACTGTTAGGGTCCCAGCGATGGGCAAATAGTTAACTATTACCAGCAATACTGTTTTGAAAAAAATTATTACCAGCAATACAATTTTGAAGGAAAAATATTACCAGAAACAGATTTTTAACAAAACAAAATATTACCAGCAATAAAAAATGTTGGCATTAAATAACCAATTGAAGTTGATATGCTGTAAAAGAAAATAAACCAAACTAAACCAATCAAAGACTGGTTGCAAACCAAGCCTACAGAGCCAAGGCTGTCCTACTATTTAGCCCATAGAGGTTTTGAGGTCTTTCTCCTAGACTGTTTTCTACATAGGACCCTATCTGTCCTGGTATTTACCCATGACTGGAAAGAGAAGAGATGGGTTCATGGCTTTCTTAAGGGTATTTACACGTAAGTGAATGGATATTGAAATTCGGAGTGATCACTTCTATTGTTTAATCTTTAAAATTTATGAGCGGACGTTCTTAATAAATGTTGATGAAAAATCTGGCCGCTTAAAAGCATCAACACCATCTTTTTCTTTTTTCGACAGTCGACAGTCTTTACTCCGCCATGCTATACATAATACCCTTCAGCAAAATAAGCATTGTCTGGCACAGTGCCTTGGTAATGGAGTCATGATCGAAATTGTTCGAGTGTGTTAATTTTTTTTTCTCGGAAGAATGTTATCATTACCAGAAGCAATAACTAACCAATCAGATTTCATAGAAAGCAAGATACTATTTAGGAAAGTTCTGATTGGTTGAGTTTGAAGTTTAAGGTAGGATTTCACCAGTGAATACCGATTGCTTTGTTGCCATTGGTTTTGTCTATTTCAATATGGCTCTTTCACGCTAAAATTGTCGTCTGACCTTAAAAGTGAACGACAGACAAGCGTTTTGAGGGAATAATTGAGAAATCCATTCGGCAGTGACACAGCGGGAATCTTAAAGGTTTGTGCGGATGTATTTTGATGCATTTACGATTCTGATTTTATTAAGTAAAGTGGCATTTCTGTCTTGGTCACAAAATTAATAAGGTTGTTTTTGCTTACTCCACTGTGAATAATCATAGCCTCACGCACCTAATACACTTTTATCCTTCTACATACAAACTGAGGAGGTGTGTGGTTATTTGGTATTGGCTTTCGGAGTTTAGTTTAACGGCTTTCGAAAACTGAATCGGCAACATGAGTTCAGATGCCAGCTAAAGCATATTAGTGCATTTCATATTCATACGATTGGGATGGCATGAATTCATCAATTGATATGATTTAAGTAGCAAGGTAGATTGGTTGCGAACCAGTCTAGGAGAAAGACAACACTGACTTGAAAACTGTAGAGAAAACGACGAGATAACGCACCAGTATCTTTTCCATAGAACCATCAGAGAATTGTTGCGTTTTTAAAAACAACGGTTTCGACATAGATAAAAAAACAACGGATTCGACATAGATATAAAAACTAACCTAAACGAAGTAGATTTTCTCGGTGTTACCTTCAACCTAACAAAAGGCACATATAAACCATATAGAAAACCTAATGATAAACCACTCTACATACACACATCTTCCAACCACCCGCCTTCTATACTCAAACAGATACCAAAATCGATTAACCGCAGGCTTTCTGACAATTCCTCCAATGAATCCATATTTAACAAAGCTAAGAAAGACTACGAAACAGCTCTAAAAGATAGCGGATTCCCAGCAACACTCACATACTCGCCACAAAACACAAAAAAGGCCAACAGGAGAAGAAATATCATATGGTTCAACCCACCGTACATCGAAAACGTAAAAACAAACGTAGGAAAAATATTCTTCAAACTCTTATACAAACACTTGAAAACAAATTTTACTACGTTACTTAAAAATTGAAAACGAAAAAAATAAAAAAAAAACAAATAGATAAACAAGTAAACAAAATAACAATAAAATAAGCAAAATTAATTAATCCAAACAAATTACCAAATCACACCTGTTAGAATAGACGAAATAGAATAATAATAATAATAATAACAAAAAAAAACAAAACAAAAACAACGAACCCAAATAAATAAAGTAAATAATAAACAAAAATAGCCAACCATTATGACCAAAATATTAGTTAGACTAAATAATCAAACCAAAAAATCGGACGAAAAACATAGCTATAACTATTATATAACGAGAAAAAAAATAAAAATAAAAATAAAAAATAAATATATAAATACTACGTTACTTAAAAATCGAAAACAGAAAAGAGAAAATATAGAAGTAAAAAAAATTGACATAAATTCATCCAAGTAAATAAATAAACTAACCAATCCCGATAAAGTTACCGTTAGAAAAAACAAATAAAGATAATCAACCCAAATAAACACAAATTAAAAAAATGTTTCTGCCAAAATAATAGTTAGAATAAAACTACAACAACCAACCCCCAAACGGAACAAATAGCTTTAATTAAATTCTCAAACCAAAACAAAACTATTAAATAAGTGATATAAACAAATTTTTACTACGTTAATAAAAAACACCGATTAAAAAATAAGTAAATAAATAAATAAAATAAGAAACAAAAAAT